CTCGTCCACACACTGGCAGGATAGAAGAGAAGACCACCTTTAAAGGAGAGGGAAAGAACATGTTCCTACCAAACCAATTTTATAGACTTGTGGGTAGGGCATTCTCCTAGAAAGTATGTAACAGTAGGAAACAAACCCCTTAAACTGAGAAGGCTGTAGACCCCAAAGTTTCCTCTTCCTGTGCAAATACTTTAATGAGGCTATCATTCCAGACATAAGGATTCCCACCACCTTTGAGTTAGGTGCCTACCCAGAGAACTAAGGACTAATCCAGCATTTCTCAGCCTTTTTTTAAGATATGAGTTCCCCTCAGACTTGAGGCACCACTCATTACACTCAAGGTACCCTTTGGAAAATGCCAGCTCTTGGTTTTTAACCCTTTTATTATTGAAAAAGAATAGAGAAATTTTTCTCTTTCAAAAACTCAGGAAGACCACAAGCAAACAGGAAGGTTTCATCAAGATATTGGCCATGTGGTTCCTCTGATTTACCTGTGTCAGGTCAGGATGTTAGGTCTGTGTTGTATCAGGGTTGGCAGTAGTCCTATGTAGAGTACAGATTATTGATTATATACGACAGTTTGGATAGGGATGATCCTGCCTTGGGATGGCCTCTGGGGATCCCTTCCAGCCCTTCTATCTCTGATTCTATGATTCTTTGAACTCTATGGATATGTTGTGAATCATGTTGGTACATCTAACATTGGGTGGCACCCTTAAAAAGGGACCCTTGAAATTATGCCAAGGCACTCCAGGCAGGGTGCCACAGCACCCTGATTGAAAATCACTGGACTAGTTATTTTGGATCACAACTGAATGCCTAGATGCCTAAATCAGGGGCATCAAAGATGTGGGCCATAGACCCACCTAAATACCAAGAGCTAACTCAAGGAAATGCTAAGAACAGAGATGTGGCTGAACTCCTGGCCCTCTGTAGAGCATAGGCTCCTGATAGACACATGCTTTATTTCTTCTTAAGTTCCAGAATATGTTCAAATGTAAGAGCCTATATCTAAGTTTAAATCAGCGGGTCAGGACTTGGTCAGTGTTTGTTTTGCTTTTTAAGAATAGTCTACTGGCTACAGCACTCACCACAGAAGTGGGATATTAGGCTTCAGTTACCATTTTGGGAGAATGCCAAACCATTAGGCTATAAGCTAATCTACCTGGGGGTGTTTTCTACCTTTCCTGTTGAAACAATGAATTTCAGATTTGTTTGGCCAGAAATAGAATACATGCAGGAGCCTCACACCATATTCTAGTGCTTAGGGTCCTTACTTGGCTTCTGGTACCTGTCCCATTATTAAACAGTCATTGCTCTGTTTTCCAGACTGAGTACTTTAATTTTTACTTAAAAGTCACAAGCAACTACTTTCATTTTGAAAGGAGACTCTAACATTACCCTTACTGCTGTTTGATCACCCCATGGAGAGAAGGGATTGCAATTGTAACTTTATATTGTCAAATAAGGGCTAGTTGCACATTCAGATGAAGTTTGCCCTTAAATAATCTCAACTGCATTAGTTACTTGAGATGCCTAACCAATTGATGCCTTAATCAGCCCTCATGATCATGCATTTCAGATCTGGGCCATGTGACTTGGTGGATGTAGTAATCTAGGGCTGAGGGGCATATAATTTTATCCCTATTTCTATCAAAATAGCATGTGAATACTAGCATGTGAAATAGTGATACTTCATACAGTACCACTAGTAAATGTATCCTTCTCTTGTTTTTCTTTAAACATCCTGTTCTCTATAGGAATTATTACATTATTTCACCTGCCAGACAATATGCACTGATGACGAGTGAGCTCTTCCTGAGATTAAATCTTTTGACTACCCTGTATATAATAGAAAACATAGCTTCATTTGGGTGATTCAGAAGACAGGAAAAATGTAACACCTGTACTAAGCCAATTTACATGTTTGACCCACTTATACAAGCAGCATGCTGAATAGCCAAACTGCAGCCGCAGGACTGTACAGATGACAAATTAACAGTGCCTTCTCAGCATTCTCAGACAATGTTTTGCTAAGCTCAGTCTTAAACTCACATTTAATGCCTCCAAGTAAAATTGCCACTTTTTCCTTATTTACTTCTAATCAATGTATTTTTAACTGAAAAAATTAGGAAATTGATAATATTTTCAGTCACTAGTTTGAATACAGGCACCTTTTTGTAATGATGTAGATTAGATACTTGTCAGAGTCAAACTTCCATGGTATAGAACATGATTTTGAAAAATGTTGTACTGGGGAGATTTGGTAATAGAGTTGGAGTGTTGTTGTAGTCTTGATGATCCAGAAAATGTACAACAGACAAGAATTTTCTTTGGTATCTCTTATTGGATTAACTGTATCCATTTGGGAGACCTGTTAGGCAAGCATTTGGGTATCAAGTGCCCCTTCTGAAGTCTAGGAAAGAGGCAGAAGCAGGCTGAGCTAACTATCAGAGAAAAGACTCCATGTAAATGTAGAGTTTGATTGAAGGGATGCAAGAGGGCTGTAAACTGAAGAGGTGCTACCAGGACCTATTATAGGACGAAAGAAGTGCAGCAGACTAGGCAATCTAGTTAGTGGCAGAGGAGCCTATTCAAGAAAAGGGACAGGAGCCTTCAGATGGACAAATACACATTCACTAATTTATATTATTAGTAATAATAATTCTTTTTCATTAAATATTCTTTTATTTTAACATTTGAAAAGTATTTTATGTTATTTACTCTCAAAGTTCTTCTTGATTAAGGGTTTCAGGTTTGGTCTCAGGATTCTTATTCCTTTCTATTTAGTACCCCTACTCTCTGCAGACCTACTCATATCATTTACTGAATTAGGCAGTAGCCTATGAAAATACATGCTTCTCTGAATGGGTTAACCTACGGGGAGGCACACTGCCCTGCCTTCATTGTTACTTAATTTATACTTCCCAATAATCCCCTTCAGCTGAAGACCTATATTTTGACTTCATGATTAATTGTATAATTTGTTGCAATTTGATAATAACTTTAACATGTTTGTTTTAAACAGGGCACATGATGCTAAAGGATCAATTCAGCCAAACATGTTAAAAGGCAGAACTAATGCACCCACTGAATTAAAAAACAGAACTAATGTGCCCATGGAATTAGATTGCAAAAAATGCCATGAAATGAAGACTTCACAGCCCAATGCACAGGTTGAATCAGTTAATAAGGTATAACATGTCTTGAGGCATCAGATTATTTCTTGGTAGTGTTGTTGCTGTGATGGTCCAGGAAAAATGCAAAAGCAGAAGATTCATGGCTTGGTGAAATAGGTGCTAGCCTGGATGGGAGGAAGCCTTCGGTCTAGCCTAGGCTCTTGTTCCCAGTGGTGTAGAAACTTCCCTATTGCTCTTCATCCAATGGATACGAAATGCAAGGCGCAACAGGTAACCTTCAGGGGGAGGACAGGGAGGAGACTGGACTGGATAATGTCTTATTGTGGCCTGTTCGTTGGAACACTGCTGGAAAGCCATAAATGCAGGTTTAGACCCTGTCTAAAGGGGAGGGGAGCTCAGCAGCTGGGTCTCCCACATTTGGGCAAGAGTCCTAGCCACTGGGTTACTGGGTTAAAGCAAGGGAGGGACCCCTTTCTCTGCCTCTCTTTGGTTTGCAACAAGCATGTGTGTAGCCATGCAGGACAATGTGTTTCTCCCTATGGTGAAAAAGAATGCAAATGTGTGTAAAAGTGCCTCAATGGCAGTCACACAGCAATTTCACATAAAATGAAATAGGAATCTTCCTCGAGAGTGCTCATTGGGATCCCACCTGAAATAAATGATGAGCCCGTGGAACTTTTTTTGTATCAGAAGGGGATGGCATGGGTGTGTTCCCAAGTTAGAAACCAGGAATACTGGGAAACAAAGTCAAAAAGAGATAATGGAACAGATAGGGAATACAATGCATGCACAGTAAGTGGGCAATATATAAATCTAGGTAAAGATCCACTTAAAGTGCATGGAAGTGAAGTAAAAGATTGTTGGCCACTCAAGGCACCCAGTAATATTTTCACATTCTTTTTATGGCCCTGTAGCCCTGGCAGCTGGGGGCCCCCCTCCCACAGGGTTGGTGGGGAAGGGGCTGTGGGTGGGGTGTGAGGGGCACCAGCAGGTCTGGGGCGTTCTAGTGGAGACACCAGCAGGGACACCATCAGGGTCAGGGGGCTGTGGGTGAGTAGTGAGGGGTACCAGCAGGACTGGGGAGCTGTGGTTTGGGTTGAGGGTCCTGGACCTGCATCCTGGTGAGCTTAAGGGGCAGGAGGAGCTCTGATTTTCCATGATAAAAAACCCAAATTCAAATACCAAAATCTATAGGTACTTAGAATTTTTTTCAGTATAGTGATTGAGGCACAGGTAGGCTTCCAAATTGCTTTAAAATTGTAAATACAGCAATAAAACATTGTGTTCTGTTGATACGTGTGTGTGTGTGTGTGTGTGTGTGTGTGTGTGTGTGTGTGTGTGCGCGCGCGTGTGTGCGTGTGTATAGTGGTGTTTCAATTTAATTGCAAATTTGGGGCGGTTTATCCAAGAATTTTCTATTTGTTATCAGGGAAAACCAGGATTCCTGCTAATCAGTGACATTCTTGGCACAGTTTAAGTGTTATATCTGTCCACATCCTAAGGGTCCATATCAGCAAAACATTATACTTAACAGCTTTACTGAATCACGGCCTAGAGTTAGATATGAAATTAATGTAACATTTTCTCTTTTTTCCTTCCATTTAGGATCGTACCAGTGACCCCCATATTCTATTCAGCATGTAAATTATTTTTACAGCACTTGAGAAATAATGGACAGCTACAGCACACTTCTTTGTAATAAATAAAATATCAAAAGAAGAGGCAATTTAGTCAGAATCATCCAGATATACTTATGCCAAACTGCTTTGCATTTTTGATACAAAGAGCCTCCATATTATAATTCTATATTAAACATTTTGATTTTTGGCATTACGCATCACCACATTTCAAATGTTGTTGCATTCAGTTACCTCACAGTCTCCTAGTACTACCAAAGCAATTAAATATGAATATAATGACTACTGCAAAAGTGAATTATGTTTGCTTCTAGGAGTCCCACAAAGATTTGTTTCATCTCCTAGTAAAGCAAAAACACAGGTGACTTCAGAAACAGGTTTATTCTTAATTCCAGAATAGCATTCAATAAAATATAAAGAGTAGAAATACATCCTTCCTTTTATTTATTCATGCTTTATTCCAATTATAAATGTCCTGTATATAATCATTAACATAACCATTTTAAAATATATAATAGCTTTCTTGCACTGTATTCATCTAAATTGCTGCTTTTACATGCTAACCATTAGCTATTTAAAGATTCTTGATTTGGAAATCTCTATTCTAAAATTAGTAATATGTAAATATATGGATCTTTGTGTTAGGAAATAAAGTTTCAAAGAAGACAAGTTCACTTGCACCAGCACATAACTATATTTCAGACTGTCATTTCAGCTGATATTCATAAATACTGGTTCCTGCACAACCCTCATTTTTAAGACATTGTGCCTTCATGCTGGTTATCTATTTCTACAATTTTCAAGGTGACTTTGCAGTATATATGTACAGCACCTGTAAAAATGTCTATGCATATTTTTCATTTTGATGATAACTTCTAATGGCATTTTCAGCAGAAAAGCCTCATTTGTAGTGCTGTCTTGTGATTTTAAATATTTCTCCACTACTCTGGTTATCAAACTTTTTCTCTTTTTACTCTTCCTTTCAGAGCTTTCTCCATCCTTCCTACCAGTCCCAGACACTCCCAAGAACATGCTAATTTTCCTTTATCAAGTGACCCAAGAAGGAGAGATATTAAGTTAAATAAGAGAAGGTGCACAAGTTAGCAAGAACCTGCAAGTACATCTAGAAATAAATTCCCTAATTTACAAAAACAGCAGTTAGAAAAAAAAGAGGCATGGCAAAATAACATCCCTAAGGTATACCAATGAATACAAACATGAAAGCATGCATGCAGTGAAAAACAAATGACAGGCCACTATTAAGTGTACAAATTATGCAAGGATTTCATAATCACAAAGATATTTAATTGACAAACTTTGTGTCACTGCTACTAGCTAATGCAATGTTATTTAAAGAACTAGCAATGGGATAATGCAATCTTGGCTTTCAGATCTTCTTGCTTATTTCTCTTTCTTCAAACCCACAATATATTTTTAAAGGGAGCTTGACCAATTTTTTCTTACTGCATTATTAAGATAAAAGGAATTTAATGTGTTGCAGTACAGATTTACTATAAGGCATAACAAGATAACAGGAAACTTCACAGGCTCTCTATTCTTCACTTTGAATTGATAAATATGATCTTCAGCATGAAGATATCAAAATATCTAACTGTTGTTATATTATATAAGAAGGAAACCCCACATAGTCAACTCTGTCTCCAAGGGAATGGGAAATTAACTGCATATTCTGTAATGATTTGTGTGACTGATGAATTTACCAGTGTTGACCAACTGGGACCGATTTCACTTTTCTTATTTTAGGATGATAATACATCTACCATATCACTTACCATAAATCATGAAAAGCTATCAAGCTGTGTAAATTCTAGCCAGGGCTAGCAGCACTCCCTGTTGTTAAGATTAGAAGAAGCTTTATGCAAATAATACCCCCTCCACCTGCAATTAACAAATGCTCAGTCAAAACTTGTTACAGTTAAATGGGTAAAAATTCTGAAGTTCTCATGTGCAGTGAACATGCTCCAGGCCAAGGCTGTGGAAATCTGAGTAGGATTTAAATACAATTCTAAGTTTATGAGCTCACCTGTGTATCAGATTGGAGACTAAGAAGAGAAGAGACTATTTTTCTCCCTGACTGGGCTGAAGCTTCATGAAGGAGGAAGCTATCTTGATTTAAGGACAGGAGCTGGATCTGAAAGAGGCTGGGATGTGCAGTCCAGAATTGGAAGCTTGAAGGTAGGAATGCAACACTGGAAGCATCTACACATACTATCAGGGCCACCCCCACAGAGGGGCCAATCGGGGTGACTGCCCCAGGCCCCATGCTTTGGGGGGCCCCATGGAGCCGGGCAGAGCAGCCATGGCAACTCCATGCTGTTGCCGCTTTCACATCTGGCCACTCGACACCTCCTGCACCCCCGCCCCCCCCCCCCCCCCAAA